ATTGAAACAGTGCATTGAACATCCATTAAATATCAAAATGAGAAATAAGAAGGCAACATTATGAGGAAGGTATTAGCAAGCAAGGACAGCTGTGAACAGCTTGAGGCTGCAGAGTGGCTCCCTAGCTTCATTTCTTTGACTTCTTGGGTAGTGGCGTCCGGAACGGCAAGATGTGAGGTTCTTGCTGAAAGATCACATAATGGACCCATCCCTGATGCTGCTGAACACCAAGATTCCGCCATTCAGATTCCAACATCAAATGGGTTTTAGGGACCAGTTGAGTATATCCTTGGGCAACATGGCATGCCATATTTGTCCGAATAGTAAATATGTTTGTGCGACTTGATCGCTTTGAGGAACTTCAGGCCCTCGCTGCCAACCTCCAAACAACTTCCAGCAGCATGCCTTAATATGTTTTTTTGATGTGTTGTTGTGTTCTGTTAGCTAGGGTTTTGTTGAAAATTTTTGCATCTATATTCATGAAGGATATTGATCTATAATTTTCTTTCTTAGTGATGTCCTTTTCTGGTTTTGGTATGAGGGTTATGCTTGCTTTATAAAAAGTATTAGGGAGTTTTCCATCCTCTTTTATATTCTGGTATAATTTGAGTAGAATTGGTAACAGCTTTTTCCTAAATATTTTGCAAAACTCACTAGTGAAGCCATCTGGACCTGGACTTTTTTTGATTGGGAGTTTTTTGATGACCTGGTCAATTTCTTCCTTTGTTATAGGTCTGTTCAAGTTTTCTGCTTCACTCAATGTAAGTTTAGGTAGTTTGTGCTTTTCTAAAAATGTATCCATCTCCTCTAGGTTTTCAAATTTATTTGAGTGCAACTATTCATATTATTCTGTTGTTATCCTTTTTATTTCTATTGGTTCTTTTGTGGCATTACCCATGTGGTTTCTTATGTGTGTTATTTGTTTCTTCTCTCTCTTATCTTTTGTTAGGTTTACTAGTGGTTTGTCAATTTTATGAATTCTTTCAAAGAACCAGCTTCTTGTACTGTTGATTCTTTATTTAGTTTATCTCTCTGCTTCTATTTTATAGAATAAATTGTAGACAATTGGTGTCATATTTTCCTAAAATCTTTGGTTGCTGTTAAGTGCTGTTGAGTCGATTCTGACTAATAGTGACCTTGTATAGGGTTTCCAAGAAGCAACGGGTGGCTTTGAACTGCAGACCTTGTGGTTCACAGTCCAGTGCTAATCCTACAGCGCTACACTAGTATACAAGTTCTTTTCAGTCCCTTAACTGTTTTGGAAGTGCACTCTTTGCTTCTGCTTTATGGAACAAATTCTAAAGGATTGTTATATTATCCTTAAATACTTGGCAGAACTTATCAAAGAACCATCTGGGCCTTGTGCTTTCTGTTTTGGAAAGTTATTTTTGGTTGAATTTGTTTAATAAATATTAACTATTTTTTCTATGAGTTTTAGTAGGCTGCATCTTCCAAGGAATTGGTTTATTTCATATTAGTAATTTGTGTCTTCTCTTCTGATTAGCCTATCTAGAGGTTTATCAATTTTATTGGAATTTTCAAAGAAGCAGCTTTTTTTTCATTGATTTATTTTTTATGATTTCATATTATTTATGTGAACAAGAATAAAATAATAAGGGCTCATATAATTTTGTACCTGCTGAAGCCTTTCTTGTTTCAAACACCACACATATACGTGCACTTTTGGAAATCAGAATGTTGTTGTTGTTGTGAAGCGCCGTCGAATCGGTTCCGACCCATAGCAACCCTGTATAGGGTTTACAAGGAGTAGCTGGTGAGCTTGAACTACCGACCTTGCAGTTCAAACGGCTTTGCAGTCTGGTGCATTAACCCACAGCGTCTCTTAGGTGCCATCAAAGCTTTTCTAACATAGGTATCCTATGTACAACAGAATGAAGCGCTGCTCCGTCCTATACCACCCTCACAGTCTGTCCCATGTTTGAGCCCGTTGTTGTAGCCACTGTGTCGATCCATCTTACTGAGGTCTTCCTCTGTTTAGCTGATCCTCTACTTTCTACAAAGTATGTCTTTCTCCAAAGATTGGTGCCTCTTGATAACAGTCCCAATGTGGGAATCCAAAATATCCCTCTAAAGTTTCTAAGAAGAAACATGACATTCTACATAGTTGAGAAAGTATATATATAAACATAACACCAAAACCACAGCTTTTTTGAAATCTCTTAGTATAGTAGGTCAAATTTTGTGAGTTTAAGGCGGTGTTTAAGTGCATCCTTCATAGAATCTTTCTTTTTTTTTTTCCTTCATCGATTCTTAACTGTAGGTCAATGAATAGAATTTAGGTTGTCTGTTGTTATTATGTACCGTCGAATTGGTTCCAACTCATAGTGACCCGGTATAGGGTGTCCGAGGAGCAGCTGAAGGGTTTGAACAGCTTATTAGTCCCCTAAAATTGTATATTATCATTTTCTTTTCTGCATTTTTGTGGGAAGATGTCCATAGCTTTTAGTTAATTATCAAGATTATTTCTTGGCTTTAAAAAACAAAAAAAGTGTGTAGAGTGCCCTGGGAGGAAGGGGTTAAAAATGCTAGGTGTTCCTTGTGAGTAAGACATTATGTCAGACATTTTAAGCTATGCACAAGTTTGAGATGCTTCTCACCTTTAGGACAGTAGTGGACTAACAGTGTTTGCACTTTGACCATAAGCTAGGCACTGCACTGAGTGCTTCTTTACTTATCACCACTCAGTCATTCAAATTAGATCCCAGGACATAGGTTGTGATCTCAGCATTTCACCAATGAAGCACAGCAGCTATAGTGTGTAGTGGGAAACTCTCTGCTCAAACCTGGCTCTGTTATTAGTTACTTGCTCTCTGAGGTTTCTTCATTGTTAAATGGGAATAGTGAGACCTACCTGGTAGAAATCTTATGAGAAATTGCAGAGATTTTATTTGGGAAATGGTTAGTGTGGTGAGTGCCCTGCTCAGATTAGATAATCAGTGAATACTAATGATGAGGAACAAACTAGAAAGATGAAAGAGTCACAGCACAGAAGTGGTAGAATTTACTATCTAATTGGGAATGTATTATCAGTTTAGTGCTGATCACAGAAGGCCCCATTACTACATATTCAAATTCAAGACATTTTTATTGATAAAGGAGTTAGGTCTCTGAGAATGAATAAAATTGATTTAACATGGACCTTCTCAATTTAGAATTAAACCCTATGACAATAAAGCTTAAATTGTATGTGATGAATTAACTTTTTTCTTATGCACCTAGAAGGTATTAGCTATGTACTGTATACATCATTGGGAGATTTATGATAATAGTCATTCAAATCATTTCTTTAGAGCCTAATTCTCATGTGGAATCCAGTTTGTAAAAGGCTGGTTTAGGAGGTTGGAGGGAAGGGAATATATGTAGAAAGCATATTTCAACAGCAGTATAGCGCTAAGAATGTCTAAAACTGTTTGGAGAACAAATGGTTGATTAAAGTAGAGAACGTCAAGAGGTATGTAAGGAAAGGCAGAAAAGTATAAATTGGGATAGAATTTTGGATACTCTTGAGTGCCATGTTAAAGAGTATTTCTTGGGAACCATTTAAATCTAGTTTTGGATTATAGGTAAGAGTAGACATATGATAAATATATTGTTTCTGGAATATTTGCCTTAATCAGCAGAGGACAAGACAGAAACAAGTGGAGATTTGAGGCATGGTAGCTGTGAGCATATTCTGTGTTCCTAGTGCAAAGTTGACAACTAACACAGCTAAGAAACTATTGTAATAACCTCAGCCTAAAGTGTATTAAAGGAGCTCTGGTAGCATAGCCGTTACGAATGAGGCTGCAAACTGCAAGGTCAGCAGGAGAAAGATGAAGTTTTCTGCTCCCATAAGGATTTACAGCCTCGGAAACTCTGTACAGGGTCACTATGAGTCAGAACTGACTCCACGGCACATAACCACCACCAAAGTGGATTGGAGTCCCGGTGTGGCGCTTTGGGCAAATGTGTCAGACTGCAAAGTTATGTGAACTGCAAGGTTGGTGGCTCAAGCTTACCAGTTGCTCCTTGGAAACCCTATACAGGGTCACTATGGATCAGAATCAACTCAACAGCACTTAACAACAACAACAATAATAAAGTAGATTAGTGGTGTCCTGGTGTGGCGCTGCAGGATAATGCACTGGATTGCAAGGTCAATTTGAACCTCAAGGTCAGCAGTTCAGACCTACCAGCTGCTCCTCAGAAACCTATACAAGGTTGCTATAGGTTGGAACTGACTCAACAGCACTTAACAACACAACAACAACAAAGTGGATTAGTAGTAGAAGTAAGAATAAAAAGATGAGATATTCTAGCAATTTTTAAAATAGCTACATTTTCATACAGACTTTTTCTGAGTGCTAGCTCATGTCTTTCATAGAAGCTGTTTGAGGTAAGATAGATTAATGTTGTTGATAAGTGCTGTAGAGTCAGTTCAAACTCATAGCGACCCTGTATAGGGGTTCTGAGGAGCGGCTGGTGGGTTTGAACCCCAAACTTGTGGTTCCCATTAAGCTAATAACAGAGCCAGGACTATGTGATTTGTCCTTCTAGACCTCATTAACTGCAGGCATTTGAAAGTGTGATATTTTCTAAATATAACACTTGTCAAGTACTGTTGAGTTGATTTTGAATAATAACGACCCTGTATAGGGTTTCTTAAGAGTAGCTGGTAGATTTGAACCGCCAACCTTGTGGTTCAAAGTCCAATGCACTGCACCACACCCCATAAAAAGAGGCAATTTAGGACTGTAATGAGAAATGTGTGAATCCATATATAAATACACATTTAACATATATGGATAGTTCCATTATAAGAGTACTTCCTAAGATTACCAGCAAATGGGCATGTTGAATAGTTCAGAAATTCTAGGTTACTAAGATAGTGGACGATGGCACTTAACAACAACAAAGATAGTGGGAAATGCTCTTATTAACTAAGTTCAAAAATTTATGGAAAATTGAACTGGCCTTTACAATCTTGTTTGCTTCTATAGGACCTAAAGAAAGCTGGACTGCTGATTTTTGCTAATAAACAAGATGTTAAAGAATGCATGACTGTAGCAGAAATCTCCCAGTTTTTGAAACTCACTTCTATTAAAGATCATCAGTGGCATATTCAGGCATGCTGTGCTCTTACTGGCGAAGGGTAAGGATTCTTCCTCTTAGGTAACACGAATTTAGCTTAAAACATGATTTATTCTTAAAAATAATAAATATTTAAGCCTTCCAGTCACAGAGAATTACAAGGGAGAAATATAGTCCATATCCACTATCAGAGCCTTTAGTATGGTTCTGTAGAGAGTAAAATACACAGTATGCACATAATATATACATGAACTGAGAGATGTGTGTGTACATCATATATATATATATGATGTGGTTTTAATGGGCATACAGAGAAATGGAAGTACCACTGAGAAATCAGGAAAACGCTTCTTAGGATGATAGTGGAACTTACACTAAAGAAAGGAACTTCGGTTTACTGAGCATGTCCTGCATCTTGAGTGCTTTCCATATGGTATCAAATTTAATTCTCATAGCAATCTTCCTGATCAATTATTTTACTGTTGCATTATTTGGATAAAGAAGCTGATCTCTGAAAGGAAAGGATTCCTATATGAGATGAGCTTGGAAATGGTTTCTCTTGACTCGTTGTTGCACATTTAAAAAATATCAATCAGAGTTAGTAGAAGTGTGGTAGGAGAGTCCTTGGTTCTGGAATGAGGGGTTTTGGGATTTGCAGTAGAAATTCTAGTTACACTTGAACATCACAGTATTTTCCCTGGTGTGGTGCATAGAGGAACACTGGTGGTGTGGTAGATTTGGCATTAGGTTGTTAGTCAAAAGGTCATTTGTTCAAGCCCACCAGCTGTTCCACAGGAAAAAAATGAGACAATGGACTCCTGGGAAGATTTGCAGCTTTAGAAACGCTATGAAACATTTCTATTTTGTTAGAGGGACGTTATAAGTCGTAAATTGACTCGATGGCAGTAGTGGCTGTTGCTCAGAGGTGAAAGGATTTCAAGAAGTAAATCCTTCATTTTAATGTAATGTATATAACCATTTCTCTCATACTAAACCTTTTGAGCAAATATCCTTTTCTGCATTTTGAATTATGTTCAGTTACCTATCATATAATGATACTGGCTTTTAGTAATGTGAGATTTTTTATTTTCTTCCAATGTTTTTTACAGCAAGCATATTATGTGTATACTATGTTGTGTTTACTGTGTTTTAACACCCTACCACATATAAAGGAGTCCTGGAATGTGTACTGTGTTGTGTACACTGTGTTTTAACACCCTACTACATATAAAGGAGTCCTGGGGTGGCACAGTGGGATAATGTACTGGACCTCAGGGTCATTGGTTAAAATTCACCAGCTTCTCAGAAACCCTATATAGGGTTGCTATGAGTCAAAAGCAACTCGAAGGCACTTAGCAACAACAACAACAACTGCATATAAGGAGTCCTAGTGAATCTCTATAGGATAAGCACTGAACCACAAAGTCGGTTTGACTCTCAAAGTCAGTGGTTCAAACTCACCATCTGTTCCTCAGAAACCCTATAGTCAGGTCACTATGAATTGGAACTGACTCAATGGCACTTAATAACAACTACATTTAAACTCTACATTTTTCCTTATTTTAAGTACGTTGAGTCAATTAGGGTGCTTCGGTGAGTAATCTTATATGTAAATCTGTGTACACCATAATTATTTCTTAGGCTATATTTCGAAAAAGGTAGTATTTTAAGTATATTGCCAAGTTGCTTCTATAGTCATTCATTGTATAATTATTACGTGCTAGGCAATGTCCACCACTTGTCTGTCAGTTTGTTATACTGTGGTGGCTTGTGAGTTGCTGTGATTCTGAAAGCTATGCCACCGGTGTTTTAAATACCAGCAGGGTCACTCATGGTGGAAAGGTTTCAGATGAGCTTCCAGAAGAAGACGGACTAGGAAGAAGGAGTGATGAACTACTTCCAAATATTTAGTCACTGAAAACCTTATGAATAGCAGAGAAACACTGTAAGATATAATGCCGGAAAGTGAGCCCCTCAGGTTGTCAGGCACTCAAAATGCAACTGGGGAAGAGCTGCCTCCTCAAAGTAGAGTTGACCGGGATAAAACAAATGAAGTAAAGCCCATGGGACCTTCATTTGCTGATGGGGCACAACTCAAAATGAAGAGAAACAGCTGTAAACATCCAATGAAAATCGGAACTTGGAATGTACAAAGTATGAATTTGAGAAAACTAGAAGTTGTCAAAAATGAAATGGAACTCAAAAACATCAATATTTTAGCCATTAGTGAGCTGAAATAGACTGGTATTGGCCATTTTACTCTGATGATCACATGCTTTACTACGCCGGAAATGACAAATTGAAGAGGAATGGTGTTGCATTCATTGTCAAAAAGAATATATCCAGATCAGTTATGAGGTACAATGCTGTCTGTGATAGGATAATATCCATGTACCTACAGAAAAGCCCAGTTAATACCACAATTATTCAAATTCACGTACCA